AGTTCCAAAGTCAACAATGTTAATTCAGAATATTTTTGGCGCATCACTAGGAGACCTTGGTTGTTCCATACAGCAGTAGCTGAGAAAGTACGTACAGTACGGCCCATTCAAGGAGAGAGAGATGACAGACAGTTCATGCAGGAATTGGCACAACAAAATCTTTAAGAAATACAGGACTCAGAGATTGGCGCTGAAGTTTCGGGTTTTTCAGAAGGAGGTGGACGAAACCTGGCAAATGAAAATGCTCTGCTTGTACCAACGGAAAAACCACAAGGAAGCTGCCAGCGAGATCAACAGTGAGGTTGTTCTTTTCACTGAACGATGTCAGCAGACACAACTGGAAGAAAACAACAAGACAAAAAAAAAACGAAAATGCAAAAAAGATTGCTTCACGGATCAATGAAAGAACCTCCTTGAATTCCTGCTGAGCACTCCAACCACCGTCTGTCATACTCTCTGTTCTGCCACTTCGCCCCTACTGGATTGTGCATCCAACATTAGCGAGACGTGAAACTTGCACTGTGTACAACAACATGAAAATCTAGCTTCATTGCAAAAAGCTTCATCAGATGACTAATGATACATTATGATCTGGAAGACCTTACCCGGAAGTCATCACAGTGACACTACAGAACCGAAGCGATTGCATGTATGGGGAGTGTGAAAAATCGCACAGGCAAAAAAGCAATACGAAGCTCACAAGCCACTACCAGCAAAGCGATCGTGTCTCCGGCTATATTGCAGTGAGGCCACTGGTGGACAAAGACCCATAAAGATAATCCTGGAGTATCCAAATACTCTAAAAAAGATTGACAATGCTCCATGAAGAACTGTTGAACAATTTGCCATTCTTCTTCAGATTTCAGGCGCCATCTCTTCAATCTCAAGCAGCAATAGCTTTCTTATGGCCTGAAGCTGAACCTCCCTGTAAAGATTGTGTAGTCCATGTTGACTTCTCTGGAGAACTACGGCTGCAAATACAGCGCTGAAAGTGCAAAAGCTGTTCCATTTGGTGCATCACCCAGACAGGCCACTTTGCCACACTGGGGTTTCTATTGGGGGGGGGTCTGGCCCTACCACCTTCTGCACTTATATCCGGATCCAGATGGGAAGGGCGCCGGGCCTGCATCTGGCAACACCTGGAGGCCCATCCGCGGTTGGAAATTCGAGACATATGGGCCCCATGTGTCAACCATCAATTTTTTTTTAGCGACAGTTCCCTGCACACAGCAGTACAAGCCCAGCGTTGGCAATTTTTACCTCTTTTTGCACCGAGATCTACAGAGAAGGGTTCACAAGAGGAACATGGAACTTACTTTGAAGCCAGTGATGGAAGTGCCCAGATGGTGTGTGGGAGCCATTTAAAGAGAAGGGCAGATAAGCTTGTCAGTCAAGGATGTTGATACCCAACGGCATTGTTATTCCCTATCACCAGCTCTGAGCTGAGGGAAATCTAAGGTAAAGTGTTTTACATTCCAGAGCAAAGCTGTTTGCTGAGGATGCAACTAAAGACAAGTGCCATCTGACAATCCCAGCCGTACCAACCACAATGAGGGAATCCATTCAGGGTTGTCACTCCTTCTCCTGGTAAGATTCGCTACCGCGACGTCAGTTGGCATGTGTTCCTCAATGGGGGAATCTTGAATCGTGATTGCCAAAAAACCAAGTCATTTCACCATTCAATGCACAGATGACCCACTGAAGACCCCAACCATCATAACACCAGAAGTGCCGTGCAGTGGCAACAGCCCAGGAGGGTTTGTGGGAAATGGGTGTGACCCTGGTGGTACGACCACATCATTCTACCCAGAGATCATCCAATGAGGTTATAATGAGACCCACTGCCCAGGTAGAAATGTATGCACAAAGTGGGGGTCAAACCTTTTTTCTGCGTCGTCCAGCGAAGATATTCATTTGGTATCCCTTACAGGATGTACTGACCCTTATTCCTCCACCAGAGGAACGTCACATCCCCGCCACATTGGCCATTTGCAAGGGAGGTATGGCGATACTCTGGCCAACCACGAAAAGTGAAAATGTGTTACTACAGCAACGGCGGGACCCATCAACATTCGTTGATTAGTTCATTGTTTAGTTTAAAAGAATTGGTCAGTTCCTGACTCTTTTTTTTTTTTATGACAAGTGCGGGACAAATGTTTTTGTTCCAATGCTGTGATTAAAGAATGTATTTTTACTTATGTAGGTTGTTCTGGATAAAAGCATCAGCTAAATTAAATGAAATAATATAAATAATATCTTAGAAGCAACAATGGTTATTCAGCCCAATGGTTAATTATATTTCTTTGTTTACACTAGCAAATGAAACATTACAGTTAAAACAGCATCAATTTAAACGCGTCTAAAGAATTTAAATTGGAACATTTTAGCCTGAACATTAAGTAAATGAATTAAATAATCAGTGTACATAGTAAATCCTGTTTCCAGGCAACATTGATGAGTTGAGAACAAATCGAATCTGTGTTAAAAAACTTGAAAAACAGGCCCCTGTTTAATACATTTGCCCACTGAATATTTTAACAAAGTTGTTGTGTTGTGTTGACATGTTTTGATGTTTATCAATTGCATACTCATCCTGCTTCATCTTTTAATTTAAAAAAGTATCATACAAAAAATATGATCAAACAAACGTTTCTGTGAATCCTGAGTAGTATTTTGTCATTTATGTGCAGATCTATAAATCAAAAGTAATGTAGGCCATTCAACCCTGATTTACTCTAAATTTCAACCCTGTTACTTATATGATTTTCTATTAAAATTAACCTTAAATTATTTTCTCAGCTCCCAGGGGTTTACAACTATTGTCCTTTTAATAGTTTGTGAGTAATCTGCATAATATATAATGTATTTGAGCAAATATTTTTAATAGAATACAGGAAATGTGTTAAAAAGAAACGTGCGACTAATTGAAAAGTTGGGCGGGACAGAATTTAAAAGCCTAGCTTAAATTAATAAATTAAACAAGTTCGTTATCCTAAATAACATGAGTATTTAACTTGAATGATCACTTTTTCTTTACATAATAGAAAGGATTTTTATTTAACAATATTTTTAAATGTACTCTTTTTTCAGCCGTTGTTGATGGTAATTTGGCTTAACAGGGTTGAACAGATGCATGGCACACAACCAATAAAACATCTAATAAAAACTATAACTTTGATGCCTGAGCTTGGGCCAATCACTTTTTCTGATGGTTTAAATAACTGTTTTCTCAATTACATAACAAAAATATATAAAATAAAAGGTTCATTTTTCAAAAGTGTCGATGTCTAAATTGTCCTCCAACTCTGGAATGACCCTTCTAGTCTTCGGTATTTCCAGACAAGTGGCGACTGAAATCAATCTTACTAACTGCTGTCTGTGCAATTTACTCAGCGCGAGTTGGCAGAGTTTATTTTGCTTACTTTAACATCATTTTTCATGGTGGGGCTAAGCCATTTATTGGTATGGCTGTAGCCTACCCCAGCCATACCCTGACCGCAAATACCTCATTCCTTCTGTCTACTTGTATTCGAAATGCTTCTTGTTTTGCGCTGTCCTCCCTTTCAAATGAAATCGCCGCCAATCATATTTCCTAGCTCGCGCCAGGGGGGGAGGGGTTACAAGGCTCGCGTCTTGTGCTGCATTCACTTGCACTCGGACATTAGAGACTTTCCCTCATAAATGTCCGATGAGCCACAACTTTTCTTTCAAAACAAAGCTGCCAACTGGGGTGGCAGCTGGGGTGGCAAGGCATTTTTCAGAGGTGGCAGCTGCCACCCCGTGCCACCCCGTAGAACCGCCACTGCTGCTCACACACAACACAGGGAATACGATTTAAAAAGAGTTAGCTTCTTTACAGTAGCTAACTCTGAGGATGCCCTATAGTCACAGTCCACCTGTTGAAGACCCATGGACTAAATAATAGGCTCGAAAAATTATTTAAAAAGGCCCAAAATAGTTTGCGGGAAAAAAGGTAATTTAACTTACTCAAAGTTGAAGGTAGCTAAAACACTCCTCAACAGTGTAAACTACACTGAGTATGTGTTTGTTGTCTTAGTTACTTTTGATTCATTTTTCTTTTTCTCAACAGCTCTTGTCCCATCTTATGGCTTATACATTGAGTTTTGTAAGTGCTATTTTCTGTGGCCATCTGGGTACGGTCGAGCTGGCAGGGGTGTCTTTGGCTACATCAGTAAGTACAGTACAGTAATGTTCTTCCATTGAAAGGTGAACCAATAAATAAAACCGAAATCATCCACTAATGTTTTGGTTAAATCCTCAGGTTATTAATGTTATAGGTATATCTGTTGGAAGCGGTTTGGCTTCAGCATGTGATACTTTGATTTCTCAGGTATGAGCTTTAGCCTGACATATAATATTTTTTATCAGGTGTGATAAGTATCGACAGAAAAATAAAAATACTTTCTGTTTTTAGACCTATGGGAGCCAAAACCTTCTGAGGATTGGGGTCATTCTTCAGAGGGCAATCCTCATTTTGTTACTGGCTTGTTTCCCATGTTGGGCAATTCTCATCAACACAGAGGCCCTTCTTTTGGCTGTCAAACAAGAGCCAGAGGTAGCCAGGTAAGCTGTGAACTGCTTTAGTTTGTTGTTTTATTTTTTCTTGTTCTTTATTTATTTATTTATTGTAAGAAAAGAGTATACAGTGGAGGAAATACGTTTTTGATCCCCTGCAGATTTTGTTAGTTTGCCCACCTACACAGACATTAACAGTCTATAATGTTATAGTTTTATTTGACTAATGAGAGAGAATATAAAAAAGAAAATCCAGAAATTGAGATTATATAAAAGATAAAAATTGATTTGCATTTAACTGTGAGAAATAAGTATTTGATCCCCATGCAAAACATGTCTTAGTAGTTGGTCTCCAGGTTTGTGCACATCTCAGGAAGGATTTTGGTCCACTCCTCTCTGTAGATCCTCTCGAAGCTTCAGCTCCCTCCACACATTTTCTATGGGATTAAGGTCCGGAGACTGGCTAGGCCCTTCCATCACCTAAATGTGCTTCTTCTTTAGCCACTCCTAGCCTTGGCCGTATGTTCAGGTTTATTGTCCTGCTGGAAGACCCATCCATGACCCATTTTCAGTGTCCTGGCTGAAGGAAGGAGGCTACCAGCCAATATTTTCCCGGTACACGGGCCCGTACATCCTCTCCTCAATACAGTGAAGTCGTCCTGTCCCCTTAGCAGAGAAACCTCCCCAAAGCATAATGTTTCCACCTCCATGCTTGACAGTGGGGGTGGTGTTCTGGAGGTTATAGTCAGCATCTCTCTCTCTCCCGTGTAGTTCTTGGCTGATCCCTCACCTTTCTCATGATCATTGATACCCCATGGGGCGATATATTGTGTCGAGCCCCAGACCGAGGGCGATTGATGCTCATTTTGTCTTTCTTCCATTTCCAAATAATCGCACCAACAGTTGTCTCCTTCTCACCAAACTGCAATTGCTTGACCGACCTATCCTGTAAAGAGAGTTAATAATATAACCTGTGTGTGTGTGTGTGTGTCGTGTGTGTGTGTGTGTGTGTGTGTGTGTGTGTTGTGTGTGTGTGTGTGTGTGGTGTGTGTTGTGCGTGTGTGTGTGTGTGTGTGTTGTGTGTGTGTGTGTGTGTGTTGTGTGTGTGTGTGTGTGTGTGTGTGTGTGGTGTGTATCCCACCAAGAAGCACTCCTCCCATGTAAAAGCTTAGTAAATATAATGTCGAGTTGGTGGGCCTTGAAACAATAGTATCAGAGTTGTCGTAAATGGAGAGGGGGGGGGGGGACGTTGGAACTTCAAATCATCGACTACACCGTCGGATCGGTACTCGTCCTCGTGATTCAGCCTTATAACATAAACTGCCATCTTTCTGTAAAACGAATTCTAAAAACAATATCGAAATTATGTAAAGTAACACATTACTCCCATTGGTAAATATGTTGAGGTAATTGACTAAAACAGATGAGGTAACGTGCTAAGACTGATATACAAAACAATAAGTAATAAGTGACAAAAACAGACAGACGTGAACACTTTTTATTAATGTGACAGCGTGAAAATACAAGGATTCAACGGATAAACATAAGTAACGTTTTATAACAGTAAAGTTGCCATAGACTTAGACTTATTTTGTGGCACAACATACAACAACAATCCAGTAAAACCTTATTTACCGAGAACAAAATTCCTAACAAAAATAGTAAACTAGAGAATAATTCGATATAAAATAAGTGGGTCTTATTTTGTCGCAGAGAGACCTAGGAGGTCCTGCACTTTGAAGTCCCAGACGTACTCCCCCTCCCCATTTACAACAGTCTACAATCCTTTTAAAGTGGTTCCTACTCAAAAAGCTGATTATCCTTAATTAAGACTCGGCAACCTCGAATCTAAGGCTGAAGTTAAAATTCACTGGTTGGGGAGTTATATGATATGATATAATATATTATTTATCTTTCAAAATAAAACTTACGTCTGTCCTATCCAAATATTATCTCCAATCTTTATGATGTCCTTCTCGCCGGTTTTTCTAGAAGTGTATGGTTGACCCTGTGGGATCTTTTTTTAGAATGCAGTTATAGTTGTAATTAATAGAAAACTTTATATGTCACCTCCTTTCATTCATAAACTAGCGAACGGACATAAAACATCAATGGGTCGAATGTTTCTTTACTTGTCAAATAATTAACATTACCATCCAAATAAACTGATTACTGCGTCTCTCTCTTATATTTTTCTTTTAGGTCTTTAACTGTAAATATATTTTATACGTTTTATATAAACATAAATTGACGACCCTTTCATTCAGAAACTAGGGGAACGTTGTTTGTTATAATACTTTAAGGCTGTCTGACCAATTATTCAGGAGAAGAAATTTTTGACATGACAATTATAGTTTACAAATGGACTATTTTCTGTGGACAGGTGCTTAGTTAGTTAGTCTAAGGTTGGAGAGGTGGTACCCCCGTTAACCTGATTCTCGACATATTTTCCGTGAGTCCCTGTTCTACTGGACTCCGGCGTGGAGACTACTGAACGTGTTCCGACCTTACCCCGGATGTCTGNCTCCAAGAAGGCCGTATACTCTGAACTGCTGTTGGGTGCATAAGCACACACAACAGTCAGAGTTTTCCCCCCCATAACCCGCAGGCGTAGGGAGGCGACCCTCTCGTCCACTGGGGTAAACTCCAACAAAGCGTGACCCAACTGGGGGCTGGTGAGTATCCCCACATCCACCCGGCGCCTCACACCTTGGGCAACTCAGGAGAAGAATAAAGTCCAACACCTATCAAGAAGTGTGGTTCCAGAGCTGACGCTGTGCGTAGAGGTGAGCCCCACCAGTAACGCTCCACCTCCCACACAAGCTCCGGCTCCTTCCCCCCCAGAGGGGTTACGTTCCCAAAGCCAGCTTCTGTCCGCCCGGGCCTGGTCCGTCAAGACCCTCTGCTTTCACTTCCACCCTTCTGGCAGCGCACCTGACCCCATCGCTGTTTCCCGTAGGTGGTGGGCCCGCGGGACGGAGAAGCGGAGGTGTTGCCCACGTTGCCTTTTCGGGCTGTGCCCGGCAAGGCAACGTGGCAAGCCCGGCCACCAGACGCTCCAGAAGGGGACCCCGGGCTTCCTCCGGGCCGGGTATCCTCACTTCTTGTGTCGTCTTTCATGAGGTCTTTGAACCAATCCTTGCCTGAGACCAATTTGCCATGGGAGACCCTACCAGGAACACAAGGTTCCAGATAACACAGCCCCCAGGTTAATCGGGGCACACAAACCTCTCCACCACGATAACGTGCTGGTTCTTCAAATGATATCAAAACAAAAAGATTCAAGAAGCCACTTTTGTGCATTGAGAACCCTTTTCATTTGTATACTTTGACTACAATTTCACGATTGTAATAACAAAATGGTGTTTATGTAATCCTTTCAATGCAGGGCTTTTACTTATTTAATGTGGTATTTTTACAGAGTTGTTGATCTCCAAAGAGAACAGATGTATTGTCAGTTTTAGCCTCGGGGTTGTTCTATTGTTGCGCTGCTCCGGCCTTCCTAACTATATGCAAACACATCATTTGAATGTTAAATCTGATAACTGTTGGCACCAAACATGCGTGACAGCAGTCTGCTCATTCACAGGCCATTATTTATCTAACTAGAGCTGTACTCAAAACAGAAAAGAACAATAAAGTAACTATAATTTTTTCTTTTCATTTCTATATTTCAATCTTTAATATTAGCCCATGCCAGTAATGACTACTGACTTTGGGGAACCCCTGAATTTTACTTTAGTGCCACCATTGGGTTTTAATTGGTGGTTCAGACTGAGATCTCGAACAGTATTTAAATTGCCTCGACATTCTCAACAGATATCCAGGGTCCCAAGAAGATGCATTCAAGAAGTTAAATGATCGTTTGACTTTTCCTCTAGCGCCACATGAGATGAATTGTTTCGTTCTTTAGTGAAATATCTTGACAAACTTTTGGATGTGAAACTTGGTGCAGGCTCTCATAGTCCCAAGAGGATGAATTGTAATATCAGTAATAATAATCCTTATGATCAGCCTTTTAGCCCAAGTACAGCCTCACTCAGCTGTAGTATGACTGCAGACTCATAATGACTGTCCACGATTTCTAAACAGTGGCTCAAGACACCCTGACTTGATGCCTTTTATTGCCGGATGTTGCAAAGTGGTTTTCTTGTTTAAAATCACTCTGAAAGTCATCCTAACGATGTCGGTCGCCACTGTCTCTGTCAGTTTATTTGAGGTATGGACAACTCCATCCACTTGAGTTTGAAAGATTTTTAAAATAACATATTTATAACTATTACTTTCGTTATCTGTCTTAATGTAGACTGACCTTTTAGTCTTATTCATTATCAACCAAATATATAAAAATACATTACTTGTATAATAAATGTAAGTGTTAGTCTGTACTAAGATAATGGGATAATGTGTTTGTAATGAGATAAAAAAAAACTGTCAAACCCTTTAAAGCATTGGAAACCTAACAACATGAAGTTCTATTAATGTAAAAGACACATCTTTTTGGTTCGTTGCTATAGTTCAACTAAATGGTACTAACATTTTTTTACAAAGTTGAAGTCTCAAATATGTAATTCAGCTACATGCTTATTATTTGCCTGAGCAAACAATTGTTGCGTCTGACCTTTTTGCATGACAGATGACAAGGGGGAACTGTAAGACATGTATGTCAAACACTATGAGGAGAAGAAGAAGAGGGATGAGCTTTACAGTTGAATTGCTGTGTGTGATTTTTATCAAAGAAAAGTGTATTTCTTTCCTCAAAGTCCTCATGCGACAGAATTCAGCTGCAACAATGATCTGAATAATCTATTAGTTACGATCATTTTGATAGAAGATAGATAATTTAATGCTTTTCCTTGTTATATATGGTTATGAAATTAATATGTTTAGGGTTTTTACTATTGCTTGGCTAGTGGGAGATAATAAAATGTTTGGCTTTTGCTGACTTTTGATTAAGATTACATTATTAAATAAATGGGCTAGAATCTTGCATATTGTGTGGAGTCTGGGGCTCCACACAATATCTCACCCCTTGGGGTATTG